GGCTTTTGACATATAAAATTTGCCCTTTCTAAAGATCTTAACCTAGGGGTAATGGCCCTCAGTATTTGAGTCCGAACTTGTGAGGGCTCGGATACTATTGGTTTGGTGCAAACGATCAATAATTCTGGTTTAAGGCCGGTCTTCAAAACTAAGGTAACACATTTTACTGTTGCCTGATGGTAGGCTATAATCTTGTGTTTTAGTCGCTTTATCGCACTCTAATTTACTGCACTTTTATTGTGTTTGAGCTTTAATTGCTAGTGTTATGTACTTATCGTGTGTTTTATACCTTGTAGGAGTGATTCCAAGCTATGTAGATGTATGGAATGAATTCGAGCTATTTGGAGCTTTGAAGTGTGAGTAAAAGCCCAAGAGATTAATCCGGGATCACGTTCGGGGGTCAAAAATCACATATGGATGTCAAAAAGTGAGGAAACTTTCGTGCTCTGAGAAAACATCACTAGTGCGTCACGTGGCGCACCGCGACTGCCCATTTTCCTGCTGCCTGACATATTTCAACTCTCTAAATTTCCCCACTAATGCCCCGCATGGGGCGGCACGCCTGTGTAATTTTTTCAGAGTAATTGTCCTATTTCGCGTAGGAAAAGGTGATTTCGTTTGGACCCGACCCTACTTGGTATAAATACATGAAAAACGTTTTTGGGACTTTTGACACATTGGAGACCTAGGGAGGATAAGGAGGAGTTGGAGAAGCGAAAACACAAGGAGTTTATTGTTCAATCCTCACTCAAGACACGAGTTTGGATCGTTTTATTTTTTTCCTTACTTTAAACATATTTGTGATGAATTACTCCATATTTATGGAGTAGTTCTCTTTAGGATTTGAGGGATTTGGTGTATTGATATTTGTTTGTGGCTTATAACTCAAGTTTTATGTATTGAATCATTTTGGATGATTTAATTGTTGCATCTATATTCACATGTTTATGTAATCGAGAGAGGCATAACTTGTGATATCTTTGCATTATATTATTGGTTGAGTTCATTAATTCTTCTTAGTAATCGAAAGAGGCTAGTTGAATTGTTGATTTAACCTAGTTAGGAGGATAATCGAGAGAGGTTCTCCTAAAGACCAATCCACTACGCATTCTTGCATAACGTCACGTGCTTAAATTGGTTTATCTTGTGAGGTTGAGACTTAATCGAGAGAGGAGTTTCTACTAAACGTTTGAACTAATAATTGAGTGAATTCGAGAGACTCACTTAAACATTAGAAGTGAATTATATAGAGTTAGATCCCAAACAATTATCTTGTACCTATCCAATCAACCCTTATTTTCTCCCATTGATAACTTCCTTGCTTACTTTTGTTACGATAGTCATTAGTCAATTAGATCTAGTTTATTAGTTAATTTTAGTATTAATTACATAAATCAAAATTGTTGATCATCTTGGATAGCAATCTAGCTACAAACTATGATAATACTGTTTAGCTCCAATCCATGTGGATACGAGAGTTTAAACCCACTTCGGGACAAAATAGGTTCAAGGAAAAAAGAGTACAACACGTGCTTTCAGACCTAATAGTCACATTTTCCCTTGATCGAGTACTTACATAAGTTAGTCTGAAATATAAGGAAATTAAAAAGGGAATTGAGTTCATACCTTAGCAGTAGTACCGCTTTAAATGTGCCACGTTCTAGTTGTTCGGTAGTTGTATACCATTTCCCGACTAGAGTTTATACGAGCCTTTGCCGGAATAACTCTATACGGTCCTTCCCAATTCGAGCCCAGTTTCCCATCGTTTTGGTTCCTGGTGTGTAGAGTTACTTTTCTCAGTACAAAGTCCCCGATTTGAAAATGTCGAAGGTTGGCTCTTCGGTTGTAGTACCTCCCTACTCGCTGCTTCAGGGCAGCTAATCGGACCAGGGTGGCTTCCCGCCTTTTGTCCAATAATTCCAGGCTAGTGGTCATGGCCTCGCCGTTTGACACTTTGGTAGCATACTGGAACTTGAGGCTCGGTTCCCCTACCTCGACTGGTATTAAGGCTTCCGCTCTGTAGACTAAAGAGAATAGGGTCGCTCCGGTACTCGACTTCGAAGTCGTACGGTATGCCCACAAGACTTCGAGCAAGATTTCCTTTCAGTTTCCCTTTGAATCGGTCAATCTCTTTTTCAGGTTTTGGAGTATAGTTTTGTTCGTCGATTCCGCTTATCCATTCCCACTAGGGTGGTAAGGCGTTGATAATATCTTCTTGATCTTGTGGTCTTCGAAAAATATATTTACCTTGCTGCCGACGAATTATTTTTCATTGTCGCAAATGATCTTGGTCGTTATCCCAAATCGACATATTATTTGATTCCAGATGAATTTGATGACTTCCTTCTCGTGGACCTTCTCGAACTCCTGAGCCTCGACCCATTTGGAAAAATAATCGGTCAAGAGTAGTATGTATTGGGCCTTACCGGGCGCCCATGGCAGGGGACCGACGATATCCATTCCTCACTTCATAAATGGCTATGGCAACAGGACCGAGTGAAGCATCTCTCTCGGTTGATGAATCATCGGGGTGTGTCTTTGGCATTTGTTGCATTTTCGTATGAAGTTTTTTGCATCCTTCTCCATTTCATTCCAGTAGCCGGCTCTAATTAGCTTCCGAACCAAGGATTCTGCCCCCGAATGGTTCCCGCAAGTGCCCCCGTGGACTTCCCTCATGGTGTATTCGATTTCTACCGGACCTAAGCATCTAGCTAGTGGGCCGAAGAATGACCTTCTGAACAATTTCCCTTCGACTAAACTAAACCTGGCAGCTTTGGTGCGCAGGGCCTTCGATTCCTTGGGATCCGATGGTAATTTTCATAACTTCTGGTAGTCTATGTATTTGTTTCTCCAATCCCAAGTAAAATGTGTTGAGTTTACTTCAGTGTGACCTTCTCCTACCATTGAGTTCATCAGCTGCACCACTGCCCCCGAGTTAAATTCATCGGAGTCGATAGACGACCCAAAGTTGGGCAGTGCAACGGCATCACTCTTTTGATCCCCGAGGTACGTACTGCAGAGTCCATTCCATGAATTGCTGTAGGGTTACCCGCAATATGTGCAAGTACCTCCGAATTTGTTCCTCTTTTACTTTGAACGTTTCGTTGACTTGATTTGCGATGATGAGGGAGTCACATTTGGCTTCGATCACTTCGTACCCGAGGCTTTTAGCCAGTTATAGACCTGCAATCATAGCTTCATACTCGGCTGACTGTCTAATTATGCTACCCGCAGGCAGTTTTAACACGATACTGAGCTCGGACCCCTTCGCTTGGAGGCACCGTCCGTGAATAGGGTCCAAATCCCCGAATTAGCTCCCGAAGAGAGCAATTCCTTTTCGACTTTGGGTATCAAGGCCGGCATAATATCGGCCCCAAAGTTCACCAAAATTTGAGACTTTATGGCAGTATAGGGTTTGCACTCGATACCGTACCCGCTGATCTCTACGGCCCATTTGGCCAGGTGGCCTGAGAGTTTGGGCTTATACATGACGTTCCTCAGCGGGTAAGAGGTCACGACACATATGGGGTGGCATTGAAAGTACGGTTTTAGTTTCCAAGAAGCGCTTAGTAAGGCGAGCGTTAACTTTTCTAGGTGAGGATACCTTGTTTCGGCATCGCCTAGGGTTCTACTAACATAATAAATAGGAAATTATGTAGCTTCTTCCTCTCGGACTAGGACACCACTTACCGCCACCTCAGAAACCACCAAGTAGAGGTACAATTGTTCGTCTACCTTCGGAGTGTGCAGCAAAGGGGGGCTCGACAGGTGTCCGCCCGGTTAGTCTTTGAACTACCTTGACATTGTCGACTACGACGATATCCTCTATGGCCTTTATTTTGTCGGGGTTGATCTCTGTCCCTCTATTAGAAATCATGAACCCGAGAAACTTGCCCAAACCGATCCCAAATGCACACTTCTCCAAGTTTAGCTTCATGTTGTACTTCCTTAATATGTCGAAGCTTTTCTGCAAATGTTTCAAATGGCCCTCTACTTATAGGAACTTAACCGACATATCGTCAATATAAACTTCTATTGATTTTCCTATTTGTTCTTCAAACATCCGATTTACTAGTCGTTGGTATGTCGCACCGGCGTTCTTTAATCCGAACGACATTACATTATAGTAGTAGGTGCCGAACTTTGTTATGAAAGAAGTCTTTTCTTGATCGTCCGGGTCCATCCGAATTTTGTTGTATTCGGAGTAGGCATCGAGAAAACTGAGTATCTCATGTCCGGCCATTGTGTCAATCATTCGATCGATGTTAGGAAAAGGAAAAGAATCCTTTGGACATGCCTTGTTTAGATCCTTATAATCTACAAACATCCTTATTTTATTTCCTTTTTAGGTATCACCACTACGTTAGCTAACCCATCTGAGTATTTAACTTCCCGGATGGAACCTATTTTTAGAAGTTTGGATACCTCATCCTTGATGAACGCGTGTTTGATCTCGGACTGTGGCTTTCTCTTCTGCTTGACCAGATGGAATTTTGAGTGGTTACCTCCAGTGGGATCACTGTCATATCTAGATGGGACCAGGCAAAACAATCGGCGTTAGCTTTAAAAAAATCAATAAGTTTTTTCCTGAGCTCGAGGGTTAACCCCCATGCCCAGCTATACCTTTCGATCTGGTAGATGCTCGATTAATATAACTTGCTCCAACTCCTCGACCGTTGATCTGGTGGCGTCGGTGTCATCGGGCACTATGAATGATCCCCGGTCACTGTAATCGTCCTCATCATCCGCTCCTTGATCTTCCTGTTTCTTCGGCTCGGCTGGGGCCGGTATCATTGATTGCTATTTAGTTTCTTCTTTTTTGGTCGGTTATGCGCTTCTTGATATTGAGCCCGCGGGCACCGGGATTACTTCATCGATAACAAACATTTTCCTTGCAGCCGACTATTCTTCGTAGACCATTTTGATCCCCTCGGTGTGGGAAATTTCAGCGCCCGGTGTAAGGTCGAAGGTACCGCCATCATATTATGGACCCATGGCCTTCAGAACAAAGCGTTATACCTCATATCCCCTTCCATCACGTAGAACTTCATTTTTTGGGTTGTCCCGGCTGTGTTTACCGGCAAAGTTATCTCTACTTTTGTGGTCTCACATGCCATGTTGAACCCATTCAATACCCGGTCCACCGGTACAATTTGATCTTGTAACCCCAGTTGCTCTACGATCCTTGATCTGATGATGTTGGCCGAGCTATCTGGATCAACCAACACACGTTTAACCCAAGATTTATTGATAGGCATAGATATTACTAGTGCATCGTTGTGAGGTTGTACGACGCCCTCAGCATCTTCGTCGTTGAACGAGATAGCTTGCTCTGGAACGTAATCGCGAGTGCGTTTTTCCCTCGTAATAGACACTTTAATGCGTTTCATCATTGGCCCTTGGGGGAAATAGACTCCCCCAATGATCATGTTGATCACGTGCTGAGGCTCCTCTTGTTTGACCTGTTTGTTGGCGTCCCTATTTCTGAAGTGGTTTTTGGCTCACTCGCTTAGGAATTCTCGGAGTGCCCATTGTTGAATAATCGAGCAACTTCTTCTCTTAACTGCCGACAATCTTTGGTCATATGAATATGAGTGTCGTGATACTTATGCATAAAATTAGGATCTCTCTAGGTAGGGTCTGGTCAGGGCCACTTGGTCTCTTTGATGCACCCTATGGCCGACACGATGCTTGTAGTGTCCATGTTGAATTTTTACTCCGATAATCTTGGTGCTTCCCTACTCCCGAGTAACCTGTCAAACCTGCTCTTTCTCATCAAGCCCCAGTCGTTTGGCCCTCGATCACTTCTCTTCTCGTTCCTAGTTGGATGACGCCCGGATCCGTTTCCCCTCCGATTTGCATTGTATGGCTGATATCGATTTTGTACCGGTCTTAGCTCCTAATCAATGGCCCTCTTAGATCTATCATCGGTTCTAATGGGGTGAACAGAGCCAGAAGGGGCCCCGAGTTAGTCGTCTTCAACCCTGATCTTCGATTGGTACCTGTTGTGGACGTCGGCCCAGGTTACCGTCGGGTACTCCACTAAATTTTATTTTAGTTTTTGAGAGACCATGGAGCTTCGGGGGTTGGGACCCTGAGTAAATGCCTGAACGGCCCAATCATCTGCAACTGGTGGCAGATCCATCCGTTCCATTTGGAATCTTGACATGAACTCCCTGAGCATCTCGTTATCCCTTTGTTTGACGTTGAAAAGATCTGACTTTCTGGTCTCGACCTCGATGGCTCCGACATGGGCCTCTACGAAAGTATCTGCAAGCATAGAAAACTTGTCAATAGAATTTGAAGACAAGTTGTGGTACCATATTATTGTCCCAATGGACAAAGTTTTTCCAAACCTTTTTCAGCAACACTGACTTGATTTCGTCATCTTCCAAGTAATTCCCTTTGATTGCGCATGTATAGGAGGTTACATGCTTATTTGGATCTGTGGTCCCATTATAATTGAAAATGTCGGGCATTCGAAACCTCTTTAGTATCGGCTTTGGTGCCGCGCTCGGGGGGAAGGGCTTCTGGATAAAACTTTTGGAGTTTGGTCCCTATAATATCGAAGGTACTCTCGGGATCTGATCGACTCTTTAGTTGTATTTTTCCACCTTCTTGTCGTTGGCCTCAATCTTTTTCTCGCCTGACTCCACCCGTTTTGTTAATGCTTTGAGCATCTTCATTACCTCTAAAGTTTCTCCGGGCTCGGCTTCACCCGGTCTCACGGCAACTTGTTCGTCTTACCGAGTATTTTCTCGAGATTGTTCGGGCTCGACCCTGTTAGGGGCGTGGCTTTGGTTCTGCAGCTGTGCTAATGCCGCTTGTTGAGCCTGCAATATTTTGAAAATCAATCGTAAGCTCATCTCATCACCTTCGCCTTCGAGCGCTTCTCGAGCCGTTGACTGGGGTCCCCCCCCCCCCCGAACACTGTTCTCGGGATTAGTTGGCAAATTGATGTTGATGGCCACCTGCGAGTTAGCATCGACCGGATCGGCGACTGGGACACCATTGGGATCGGTAAGAGGCACATCATTACTGGGCACCACATTATTATTTTCGTCGTGATGGCCTGACTCAACGTTAATGTTCAAGTGAGTAGACTGAGAGTTTGACATTCTTAGGCTGACCTGGAATTAAAATTTTAAGCAACAAGCGTAAAATAGGGTATATTATGGAGATTTTTACCAAATCACCACTATATCCTTAGCCTCACGGTGGGCGCCAAACTATTTACCCCAAAAATGAGTAACAATTAAATTTGTACACGGTTTAAAGGATACGTGGTTTAATTCAATACGAATAATTAAGAATAACAGATAGATGAATTAAAGACAAAATAAACGATCAAACCAATCGCAATGTAATAACCAAGCCTGATCTTAAATTGAACAAGGGAGCTCGTCCTCGATTGGATCCTCGGTACAAGCTCGATCGCGAGTGAAGAAAAGAACAAGTGAGTAATGCCTTGAACAGTAGTTAGAAGACAAAAGTAAATTTTTATTGCTTTGAATTACGTGTTACAATGTGTCAGATCAAATAAAAACTTTTCTTTTATATAGTAGGAGAATTTCAGTCCTAGTACAAGTCTAAAAAGGGTAAAAATTTTCTTTTCCTGTAATTGTTGATTTATAGTTGATATTGAGCACCGTAATATCCGGTTGATGGAGAATATTACGGCGCCCTATCTGTCATGCATAACTGTTCATCATGTCCCCCGAGGTGCAGAAGCTATACTTGGTTCGGGGTACGTCACTTTTTCGTGTCTGATCTCGGATACATCGTTCATTCTGTCCGGGTCTCGATATGAGGGGTTCCTAATTTCGATTATAATCACGTATATCCGTGCTTTCCCTTCGTTCTCTCATCGGGGAATTGAAAAAAACTTTACCCTCGATTTTACCCGCACACAATATTTTTTCTTTTTTCAACTGATTTTTGGTATCCGCTTTGAGTCTCGACTAATTTAGATTTGCGTCTGGAAGTTTCACTTTTGGAAAAAAGTATTCCTTATCAAACGCGACTTCATAGCTAGAGTTTGAACCTAAGACCTCCGATTACGAATAAAGTAGTACTTATCACTCTTCACAACCTTTGGTTGTAACATGAATTTTTATTTTTCCTTTTTTGTTGTAACAAGAGAAGTTGTCTTTCTTATGTTTGTAAGAAAATAAAATGATTAGGGTGAAAATTATTTAAAAAATAAACAAATATGATGAAAATAAAGGAAGGGGAGTCTTGAAGTAGCGGTAAAGTTGTTTCCGTGTGATCTATAGGTTACGAGTTCGAGCTGTAGAAACAGCCACTAATGCTTGCATTAGGTTAGGCTGTCTACATCACATCCCTTGGGACGTGGGCCTTCCCCGAATCCTGCATGAACACGGCATGTCTTATGCACCGGGTTATCCCTTTATTATGCAAATAAAAAGTCTACATGAGTGCAAACGCAAAGAGGTCCGATTTTTTAAGGAAACATTACAACTTTATTTTCAAACTTTTTTGCATGCACCGTGAGATCAATGAAGTCTAATAGCCTGTTTGGCCAAGCTTGTTTTGGGGCCAAAAGTATTTTTTTCAAAAATTGAGGTGTTTGGTTAAGTTTTTACAAGGAAAAAAGTGCTTTTGAGGAGAAGTAGAAACAGTTTTTGAAAAACAGAAAAAAATAGTTTCTTTTCAAAAGCACTTTTCTGAGAAGCACTTTTGAGAAAAATACACTTAGACGCAATTTTTAAAAGCTTGGCCAAACACTAATTACTGCTCAAAAGTAATTTTTAAATTAATTAGCAAAACAAAAACTGTTTCTCACCAAAAGTATTTTTTTGAAAAATATTTTTAAGAAAAATATTTCTCAAAATAAGTTGATTTTAAAAAATTGGCCAAACGTGGCTATAAATGATAGTAACAGTTTTCTGACATGACTGTAGCTGGTTCTTTCATCGTAGCCACTCGAATCACTGTCTTTCTAGGTGCTTTTACATAAAATGGAGGGAAAAAAGGTCCAAGCAATTACTAATAAATTAATACAGATGGCACACGAGAATGTGCTACTGAAATATTTTCTTCAATAAACACTATTTCAACCTACCAAAAAAGGAGAGAAACAAACGAGCAAGAAAAAGTGTTAAAATCAAAATCTTTAGACCTGATCACTACATAAAACAATGACAAGAAAAAAGTGGGGAAAAAGGGAGTAAAGAAATGGAAAAGTGAAGAAGGATGTAGATGTCCAAATACGAAGGTAGTAGATGGACCAGCTAACTAAGTGTGAGCAGAAAGGTAAAAGAAAAAGTGATATTGATGATATCGATCTCAAATTTGTTCTGCATACTTTGATGTATTTATGGCTAAAATAGTTAATAAAGAGAAGGTTGTTACTACTAATAGATAGGCTTAGACTAATCAGTCACCAATACATGCAATTGTACAAAATATGACTACATATATCGCTTAACTTGCACATTACAATAATAACACCAAAAATACTATCAATTTGAAAAATATTCTCTTATCAAATCGTGAGGTTATGCAACATGCTTAACTTGCACATTACAATAATAACACCAAAAATACTATCTTCCTATTTCTTCTTTCGTTGAGTGCTTTGATTAACCTTATGAGAACTGTTTTGGTTGGATGTGAGAATAAATTCTTGCCTTATTTAGCTTATTTTCGAACAAAAAAATTTATAGTGTTTGTTTATAAGAAAACAGAAGGGCTTGTTTTATAAACAGAACATACTATATTGTTTTTTCAAATAAACGATATTAATTAAATTCATAAAGATAGGCCTTTTGTAACATTGAGTGGAATGGGTTATTAGAGAACTAAATTGTCACCAAAACTAGTACAGTAAAATAGTAGCATCAGAAAAAGTCATAAATATTTCAAACTATAGCAAGGGCATGGCATTAATATGAGAAGAAAGAGAAAAAGAAAGAAAGAAAAGAAGGTACCCTTCACATTTATTTACCAAAAGAGTACTAGTACTTTCTCTTTCAATTTATGTGACGTGGTTTGAATTGATATAGAGTTTAAGAAAAAATAATTTTTGAAATATGTGGTCTTAAAAGTTTAAAAGGGTAATAGATTTTGCGGGGCCTTTAATTTGTATGACTCTAAAAGCTTCTCATTTAGGATAAAATGGGTAAATGAAAAGTGTGGTTTCCAAATATAAACACGTGTCGTTCTTTTTGGAACGAACTAATAAAAAAAATAGTGTCACACAAATTGAAATGAATGATAATATACATCTACCTCTACCATCAAACTGAGATTTGGTTCTTTTGGTGTTGCATAAATTGAAGTGGAGGATAGCAGGGGTGTCAGATGGGCAGGTTGAACCGATTTTGTGCGGGTCAAAATAGGCTGAGTCATTAATTGGACGGGTCAA